CAGTAAGAAAACTTATATTATCATCTTTGAGAAGACAAAATACGTTGAAAACAAATTTCTCTTGGTGTCTCTTTTCTTAACAACATTCGAATTATGTTCGCTTCGTTTTCCCAGGTAACCCAGAGAGCCTTTTCGGGCCAGAATCGCTTTCAGGGCTTCAACTTTTATAAATTTGTAGGGATTCGTGTTATGATTATGAAAGATTCTTCTGATGGATTCTTCTACTGCCTTTCTTATGGAAGCCTGGGAATAAAAGTTAAAATATGGTTGGTTACATTATCTTTTCATAAGAGATTGGATGCAGACAACACAGAATAGATTGAAGGAGGCCTATGTTCGACAATAGACAAGAAAAGAAAGCTATGAGAATAGATGAATTGATCGTCCTCCCATCAGCGAATGATGAAATATTCAAAAACGTTGAAATGTCTGTGGCATCCCAATCACTTAACTTTTCAAACCCTGCCAAAGGAAAATCTCTGTTTTGTATTTTTACTCACTTCTTCTATCACGGCGTTCGATCACGGGACAAATGTGTTAAGTTTAATGTTAAATTAAACTTAACACATTAATTCAATTAAATTAGCAACAATTTAACATCTTCCCTTTCGATGGGAAGGAATAAATGGGTTTTCGACTAGGTTTATGAAAAAATCATTTCTACAAAAACTGTTCTGTAATGTTCAATAAAAATTTGTGTAGTGTAAGCAATGCCGAGGAGTACATATTGGACAAACTGGAAAAAGATGAATAAAAAACATAACAGCGAATGCAGTAGTGCACTTAATCCGGTGTAGTGTCACCCTGTATATACAGAAATATTGGCAATATAAAAGTATGTGCAGAGAATGGGATAGGATATAGACAGTTACTATCTGAGAATATCATTGGGGTGTACGGTATATGGAAAACAACTAACATATGTACAGGATGATATAGCTATTACCCTTAAAAGCAAAGCTTTCAAGTAGTGGGTCTTGCCCGTCCCCACCTAGCTAGAAGACACTCACAAAAACTTGAAGAATAAAACTGCGAAGAACCCAACGGATACAAAATTTCAGAGATAGAATTAGAAGCGTAGAAATTGGACATAAAAAAAAACCATGAGCAAAGTGGAGATGGACGAGACTGGAGGACTGTAGATTGGCAAGAGACCTCGAATGGACCGAGATGGACCCACATGGGTAAAAGGTAAATCTAATTTAACGGCCTTAGCGAGATTTATTTTCGAAACCTTTCATAAATTTTATTTTATTAAAAATTCAATTAAAATAAAAAAAATGGATTAGTTGATATGCATTAAAAAGCATCCCCTAACAATTTCCAAAACAAAAAACAGATATTGAAAATCTAAATGGGTGCTTTTTTAACATAATGGATAGAATCTCCTAGATTGGTTATACCAATTGGATATACCAAGAATATACTGCAGAGTCTTCCAAAAAATCATGAGCCTTTGAAATTGAGAACGGATATGATATGATCTCTTTGCTGAAAGGTCAATCTGTTTTGGGGTGTAAGGCCGAGTAGATGGGTCAGTTCCAAGGTATTCCGCTAGCTATCGACAGTGACTATCTGTTCATCTCTCGCATTTGTTCAGATATAGTGTTGTTCGTTGTGTTCGGTGTCAGTGACTTCTACCTGATCTTGTCTTTCAACATCTGTACATGCTTCCGCTGCTTGCAATTCTCCTCCCACTTCTCGTTATATATTACTAATGCGATTATTTAGGGTCTAAAATATGGCAATACAGTTGCCGAAATCTCCAACAGATACTAATTGATTTTTCGTAACACCAGCCAGCAATTCCGTAATATTTCCTTAATCACCAATGAATCATAGCTGAGTCGATCGTTACCGATAATTCAGCCGCTTTTCCTCAAACAACAGGTGGTTTCGGTGGTGGTCAAAAATGCGGTTGATAATAAAAAACGACCTACGTACCCGCGACCGTTTAATAAAACCGTCGTTTTATTTAACAACGGCCCGCTGCGATCGCGCACCGTAGGTCGCCAAACGACATTTGAGAAATTACTTTTTTATTCAGGCAGCCGTATTATAGAGAAGAGAGACTTCTATTTTCTACGGGCACCTTATCTCTCCGTATATCGGTATCGAATTTTAAGTGAATCTACCTCGGTCCGATATTAAGACGTTCGTGTATAAACTGACCATAAATTTATTACGTACACGGGACATCAATTCGAATTCCTAATAGGCAATAACATTACCGCCATCGGTTCACTTATTTATTATTAAAACTTTGTGTTAGCGCATCAGTAGTTCATAATTTGACGGATTTCTGTAATTGCTCTTAATTATATACGCGCACGAAATACAAAGGAACATAAACATAAAATTTTTGACATATTCACTGTCAAAATTTGGATTTATTATAGAAAAAAAAACTACTTATTAACCAAAATGACTTATTGGACACATGATTTTGTGTTAAAAAAGTATTGTAAATGTTCAATTACTTATCGAGAACCTCTTGGTGCAGTTAAAAAAGTATTTACTTTTTGTTGAGTACAAACATATCAAAAAATATTAGTTTTTATTCAGTCTAGATGATGTACGTAAAATGCGTTTTATTTCCACTTTTTATTTATTCTAATCTGCAAGATAGTGACACCTACTTCGTCATTAAACACAGTTTTTATTGTTTTTCCTGAAAATGATTAAAATCTAGCAATCGTGTGGATTTATAATCTCACTGTTTCGTTTTAACGTTATAAATTAATGACCATATAATTATATTATTATTACATTAAAGAAATAAGTTAAAATTGAAAATTCGAAACAAATATGACTGATTGTACCTGGTATATAAAGTAAATGATGCTTGGATAGTAATAGTAGTAAAATATTCACATTTTGCTTAGTTTTTTTTTCCTTTCCGAGTTTTGACAATATCCCAGAAAAATCTGACATTAAAAAACACAACTATAAGGTTGTTCGGAAAGTCATTTCGTTTTTTCCCGTCAGAGGACTTAATTACGTTTTTTCGAAACCAACTTCACACTTAAGCCGCATAACCATTATATGTCTTGAGAGCTGATATTGCAAGGCTTGTGTGTGAAAAAGTTCTATTAATTCTACGCAGTAGTTTTTGGTTGGTGCCCTTTTAAATATGTAGAGCAATAAGCAGCATTTTCGTCATATTTTACTTTTTTACTTCAGAAAAAGTAAAAATGCTGTCCAAGCGAGAAAAAATTGACGGATGTGTATGGAGAAGGCGTGTTAACAGTACGCCAGTGCCAGAACTGGTTTGCAAAATTTCGACCCGGCAATTTTGATGTCGAAGATGCACCACGGTCTGGAAGGCCGGTCGAAGCTGACAAAGATGCGATAAAGGCATTAGTTGATGCAAATCGGCGAATAACCACACGAGAGATCGGTGAGAGATTATATTTGTCGAATTCGACTGTTTATGGCCATTTGAAAGGCATGGGCTTAACCTCGAAGCTCGATGTGTGGGTGCCCCATGTCCTTACGGAGCGAATTTCATTAAATTCGTTCCTTTTCCGATTTATTATGGTGCTGGGTTCATTTTGTGCCGAATACTCGGGTAAACAAAAGTCGATAGTGTATTGTTCAAAGCAGTTTTTTAGTTTTAATAAAAAATACCTTAAAATATGGACAAAATCTGGGTGGTTGTAACTGGAGTGCTTTAACACGTAAAATACGCTTCTAAACTAGATACAGAAAAATGAGCTCGGGTTTCGAGAAATATGTATATATCATGTATTCACAATCCACCAAGATATTTGGGTATTTCAAAATACAATTTTTATTTTATATAGTAATCATAATTAGCTATGATCTTTAAAAAATGCCCGTGTGACTTTCCAATCATTTGTGATTGTTTATATCGGTCATGAAAAAAGTATAATGCATTTTTTGTTTATGTTCATGGTTCATTTTTAGGCCTAGGTAGAAATAAATCAAATTTTACTCTGGGATATTTTCTTTAAAATTTAGGATTTTTTGAATTGCATAACTCATTTAGTACAAACGAACAATAAAATGTGTCCCATTAAGTTAGAATCATTTAGGAAACTTTTTTATTCCTAGCTAGATGAAAGAAATTATTTTTTATAAAAAGTTATAATATAGTCTGCATTGTTATTGTGAAAAGTTGGTTATAATTGAAGCCATTAAAAATAATTTTCTTTATAAATCAATTATGCAATTTTTTTAGCCATTGTGAATAGTTTATGCATATAATAATACATATAACAATGCATATAAAACTACATAAAAACAAATTACGTAATGCATAAAAAACCCTGATTATAATATCGAACTCAGTTTCAAGTTCTTCCAAATGAATAAAGCTGCCATATTTTGGTACAAACCTGGTTCAACCAATTTTATATCTGGTGGCTGTATTTCAAGTTTTAGATTATGCGCATGTGCATTGCACATACCTACCTACATATCTATATTCGATATCAATTGATGATATAATGAAAAGTTGTCCTTATGTAATTATTTGAGTTATGTTATTTCATTATTTATTAGCTATTGCTTGAGTTTATTTTTTATTTTATGAAATAGGTTATTGTTAAATTCAACGGGTAACATGCTAAATATTTTTGGTTTCGTATAAAAAATATACGTTTTTCATTTAGATAGCCTTGCATTTGGAATAATTATTGTTTTGTGCGTGTTTTTTTTTTACTTTGTGCAAATATTTTCGTTTTTTTTTGGCAAATCTTAGCGCTGATTTTATATACAATTGATTAATGTGTAATACTTGGCCATTATTAAGTAAATCTAAACTAGAATGTCCAGATTTATAAATTAATTTCCTAATTCCATTAGTGATGAATTTAATATGCTCTTGTGATCTTAAATTTGAATCTATAATGATTCCGGTCAATCAATATTACTTTAATTGCGTGTAATGTGATATACGTATGATTAGTTATCGTGAAAATTCTAGTGATTTTGTGTTCCGCTCCAACATTCGGTATAGGACATTTTTTTTCCAGGCGCTTTGATGGCATTCAAGAGAAGAGCTTCGCTTGGTCTAATGGAGGAAGAATAATGGCAACCATGGAAATGAAATTCTTCTTCGTGTCTTTCGTATTGGTAAGTAGACCATTGAAAAATGTTAATAAAACCATAAACAAGTGTTACTTATTTCTTACCATTTTATCCGAAATACGGTCAATAAGATTAGCGTTAATAAGTTAAGACTGGGTCAATTTGGACACTTTTAAAATGAAACCCCCCTTGCTAAAGGAGATTTAGGCAAAATTTAGTGTAAACCTAGCAATAAAACCGTAGAGATTTTTGTTCGCGTTCCAAAGTTATATTGTGTTTTGCGAAAATGTACATTTTAAAGAAAATCACTGTAAATTAATTTTTTTATGGAATGTTGTCTGTTTCTGTGAATACATTTATAGCACATTTTTTAAGCAGAATTTAAGGCCTCAAAGATAATATTTCAACCGAAAAATCCTTTTTTTTATTTGGGAAACTCTTTTGAATCATTGAAAATAACTAAAACTCGCCTTTCAAAAAATATTTTATATTTCATATGTTGTTTGACATGAAAAAATAGACGTTTTGAACGTTGAACAAGTGGAACATGTAACGGTTCCAACAGTTCCAATTTTTGAATGCTAGGCTTGAATTGTTCTCTCAATATGTTTAGGTAAACATTCTGATCCATAGAACTATCAATAAAAATAAAGTTTCCTATACCAGATACTGACATGCGTCAACAAATTAAGACATGTTAATGGCATGCTTTACCATTGGACACATATGTTGAAGTTTAAATGCTGTATCCGTTTTTCTTCATACTCTCGTTCGTCTATCGGATCCAAAATTATTTGTTTTTGTTTCGTCATTGAATATCATATTTTACCAAAACTTTATAGGTTTTTTAACATATTATTTTGCAAAATCCAATCGTTTTTTGTGGTTTTGTTCCGAAATAAACGGTTTTCTTCTTGCTATTCGACCACTGGACCCAGCTCTGTGCAAAGAAATCATGCTTTATTGCCGTACCTGAGGGGCACTTAATTTCAGGTTATTCGATATTTTGCTAACCAAGGATGTTTCGTCACAAACAATCAATTTCTTTGGAGGACTACAACCTGACTTTATTTTGTATTTTGCTGGTTTTAAATTGCTATACGGTATGTATACTGAATTGCTGCAAGTGTTTCACCGATAGTTGTAGCAATCATGTAGATATTCCTTTCTTCCATAAGTCTACAACAATTTTTCGCACAGAATTTGGAATTTCTCCGCTTCTTTCACTCATTTTTAAAGTCTTTTCAATATCAACCACTAAATTTAAATAACGCCTAATAAGTGCACAATGTTCACTTGTTTTATGAAAATGACTGACTGATAAAATATGCCTACTTGACAAATCGCTAAATGCAGTATTATTAAAATAATGAAATGGTACGTGGAGATTTTTTTGATATATTTTTGTATAATAATTAAGTTACAATATGTTTGTTCATTAACAAACTATTAGCTCGAGGTATTCTTTATATAGTTATTATAGAATACGTTATGAGATACAAAAATTAAACGCTTTCATGTATATCAAAAAACATTTAGTCTATGGACACTTTTTTGATAGACGGTGTGCATTTTTTTTTAATGTTCATCCAATGTTGGTTCTTGCTAGTTTTGTTGGTGTCTTGAACTTTCATGTTGATGTTGTAAAAGCAATTTTTCTTACAACTCATAGATAGTTCATGTATAGCTTTTTGCCACCTCTTCTTAAACTGATGACTTAATTAATTTCTTTGAGAAAATGCTTTCTTTCAGGATACTGGCCGTTATACAAATTGATTGCTATCTCTGCATTCTTCTCAGTTTTCATAAAACAGACTGTGTATAATATCTCATTTATTTGCTAAAACACGAGTACTCATTTGTTTCCCGCATTTTGGCCGCTCCGCCCAAGGCCTACTTGTTCAAAACTCTCGACCAAAATATCAAGTATGATAAATTTTTGCAGGTAATTTAATATAAAAATCAAAATCGAGCTTCAGATACCGACACTAGTTTTCGTCTTATCTCCTATATAAGGGGGAGTTTAATATTTTTTACTCTTCTGGGGAGTTTAACAAAAAATGTGAAGTATTCAAAGTTTTTTTAGTTCTTATATCTTTAAATTCCTTCCGATAAGGAATTTTCAATAGCAATTTAATAATAAATAAACTTCAATTATTAAATTATTGCTGAAAATTCCCTATCGGAAGAACTATAGAAATATAAGACCTCACAACTTTGAATACCATGAATTATGAGATATTATTGGCCATGAATAAAACTTAATCCACAAAAATCATATCTACTAGTGTTTTGCAACAAGAAAAAAAAAAACGGAGAAATAATAAAAAATCGAATCAACAGAAAAGTCCAAAAGGAGAATATTCCTATTGTTGAGCAGGCAAAATACATAGGAGTTATTTTCCATAAGGAGCTGAGTTTTAAATTACATGTATCAAAAAGTCGAAAACCCAGGTATTAGTTTTTCGTTTAACTTGCGATATGCAAATCATATGACACCCTATTTAAATTTTAAATTAATTAAATTAAACTTAATTTTAAATATGGAAAATCGCAGATAGAATATTTTTTTACATTTATTTCTAAAATCGTAATAACACGACAACCTTACGAGAGATTCTCAAATCAAATAGTCACTTCCACAGTATCGGAAATGTAGGCAAATTTAAGATTTCGTAATATAAATCTGCTTTATTTCAAAAATGCTTCTCTTATTTTGCACCAAAATTCTGTAATGATATCTCATCAAATGCGCTAAATCTGCCTTTAACGCGATTTAAAACATTTACTAAAACCAGGCTAATGGATGATTAACACTTGTCAAAAATTGCATTCGTTTGTATACCCTAAAGAGTTAATAAAAGTAAAATAAAATTTTTGTTGTGTCTTGATAGACTAGAAGCCGGTTTTTTCTTGAATGTCTGCATTTTCCAGTTTTCCATAAAAAATTAAAATTGGTTGAATTGAAATTAGTATGTTATGTAACAAGTTTATTTGACACGAGCGGGGTGAGTGCTTAATAAACGAGTGACATAAAAAGTTTTTTCTACTCCCGTCTGTAAAATTCCTAATTACCCACCGATCTAGCGTGCGGGAAGCGTCACTTTACCACGTCAGTCTCGTTTCCCATGAATCGGAGCCACTTCGGACATTTCCGGGATTTTACCGCACGGATTTGGGAACGATCGGATGTTTTCGGAGATATTTCCCACGCTTTGAATTTTCACGTTTGTCAATTCTCACGGTCATGCCAGTGAATGTATTTGTTGTTTTGCGAAAATGTACCCCAAAACTAACGGTCGTAGAAAAAGTATAGTATGCAACACGTTCGGTAAACTTTTTAACTCACTCGCTTATTAAAAACTCGCTCCGTTGCGCTCCGCTTGTGTCAAATAAACTCGCTAGTCAAATGCCGTTTACCGCACTTGTTGCATAATGCATTGCACATGCATACCGAACGTGTTGCATATTATGCTTTTTCTACGACAATAAGTTCTTGGATACATTTTCGCAAAACGACACGAATACATTCACTAACATGACCGTCAGAAGCTACGAACGCGAAATTTAAAGCGTGGGAAATATCTCCGAAATCAACCGATTGCTCCCAAACCCGTGCGGTAAATTCCCGGAAATGTCCAGAGTGGCTAGAATTCATGGGAAACGAAATTGACGTGGTAAAGTGACGCTTCCCGCACGCTAGATCGGTGTGTAATTAGGTATTTTACAGACGTGAGTAGAAAATAGTATATTATGCAACAAGTTCGGTATACTACATTTGACTCACGAGTTTATTTGACACGAGCGGAGCGAGTGTTTAATAAACGAGTGACTTAAAAAGTTTACCGAACGTGTTGCATACTATACTTTTTCTACGACCGGTAGTTTTTGGGAACATTTTCGTAAAACAAGACGAATACATTCACTCACATGACCGTCAGAATTGACAAACGTCAATATTCAAACAGTGGGAAATATCTCCGAAAACATCCGATTGCTCCCAAACCCGTGCGGTAAAATCCCGGAAATGTCCGAAGTGGCTCGGATCCGTGGGAAATAAAACTGGGTTAGGTATTTTACAGAGGGGAGTAGAAAAACATGCTAACCAAACTTAAATTTGTTCCAAGATATTTACCCTTTTCTAAAAGATGCCCAAAATGTAAAAAGTAACATTTAACTTCTATTTTTATTTAATTTTCTTTACTTTAAAATTAAAGAAATATATAAAACTCATTTGTTATTTCTACATCCCTTCCCGCTTCATTCGATGTTCCAATAGGACCTTGTAAGTCTTGCAAAATTGTCTAAATAAGTAAACAAATAAATACCTATAAATTTTGCGACTCACGACATTTTCCCTTGCTGTTTAGTCCATATTTACCGGGCAATCTATATAAACTCTTTATAAACCTTGACAGCGCGTAATGTATCCCGCGACGGTGGCGCCGCCACACGCGCGCTTAGCGATATATGCAAATGGATTTGCCGTTTACAGGGGCGGTCGGTGTACGAAAGAGACGACGGTGGCGGCATCACCGGTGCATTACGTCGCTGGATGGGATTGAAATTACTTATTAATCAAATAGATAATTCAGTCCGGGGATTGTTGCGCCGGGCGGCAGGTGGGGAGGGAGGGGGGCTTAATGTATGTTCGCTTTTAAATGTGTGAATAATTGAAAATGGTCCCTCGACCTTTTCCGGCAGGATATCGGTGTTATTTATAAATTATTTTATTTCTCTGCGACGCAAATCCGGCTTTCATAAAACCGATGTCGTATTTGATATGCCAAACGTCCGCCAAAACGTCCGAGTTTTGAATGGAAAAATACTCGCTCTCTTTTCTTGAGAATAAAACTTCTTATACATTGCACAAGCGTGGACAATTTTAAAAACTAGACAAAAAGGCTTTGTTAATTTTCAAATAATGAAGTTTTTCACTTTTTTTACAGATTTGCTTATATTTTTCTATTTAAAGAATTTGTTTATTTGCTTTAATAATATTGCTCATGCGCAAAAACTTAAACATTATAGAAAACTTCACAGTC